CAGGTTTATTTTATTAAAAAAAAAAAAAAAATTGTACAATTTTAGTCCCTCTATTAAAAAAAAAAAAAAAAAAAACCAAAAAAACAAAAAACCAACCAAACACCAACCAAACTTCTACCACTGCCGGGACAGTTTCCGACCCACTGCAAAACTGTAAAAACGAGCTTTTTTTTTCTTTTATATATTAAAAAACAATTTTACATTTTACAACTTTCTACACGCATGCACAAGGTCTGGGCTCTGCTGAGAGGAATCAAACCAACCCCGAAAACGGACCCCAAAAAAAGGCTTTTTTTTCTTCTTCTTCTTAAAACTCCCGAGTGGAAAAATCCCCCCTCCCTGGGCCGACCCTTCGGTCTTTTTTTTGTAGGAAAACCCCCCGAAACACCCCAAAAACGGGCTCCCACCGGGGGGGGTGGAGTTGGGTCCTTCGGCCTCAAGAGGGGAGCGGCAGGAGGGGGTCAGAAATTCCCCCAAAACGGAGATTCCCTGGAATTCGGGAAAGCCAAGCCCGGGCAGTGAGTGCTTGGGTGGGGTTGGACCCCACAGGACCCCTCCAGCACCGGGACTTTGCTACTGGTGCTGCTGGGGAAGCCCCTCCCTCCCCCTCCCCCCCCCCAAATTCACACCCTTTTAGTGCTTTTTTTAGGATAAAACAACCCCCAAATCCGACCCGGCTCGAGCCTCCTCGGGGGGAAATCGGCCCCTCCCCGAGCAAACCGACCCCGCAGGGACCAGCCCCAGACTCCCACTGGTGCCCCTGGATGTGGGAAAACATGAAAAAAAAGGTGAAAATAAACCCATGAGGTATTTGAGACCTTTAACAGAAACCAGGAGAAGGCAAAAGGTTTTTCAGGTCCCGACAAGGTGGGAATTCCGTGGGGTGGCCACGGGCCACTCCACACCCAAGGGACGTTAATTAAGGACCTTGCTGACCCCTCCCAGGAGCCTCTCGGAGCTGTAGGTCCAGGGCTGGACCCCAGGAGATGTTTTAAGCTGCTTTTCCTGCAATTCCAGCTCCAAGGACCCCGGGAAGCCCCACGGAGGTGCTGCTGGAAGCGGGAATGTGGGGTCAGCTCGGGAGCGGCAGAACCCACGTGAAAACCCCAAACCCGACCTTCTGCTCCTCTGGAAAAAAAGCAGATCTGCTAAAAAACCACCAGCAGAGGCGAGGAGGAGGAGGAGGAGGAGGAGGAGGAGGCTCCTCCAGCCTGGAGTGTCCTGGAATGCCACGGGGAAGTTTTTTGTAGCAGCCACAGAGTGTGGAGGCGTTCACAAAAATACTCCACCCCCGCCCCTAAAAACAACATAAAAAATCTCTCTAGGGTTAAAAAAGCAGCCCCAAAGGCCGGGCTGGAAGTGGTTTAAGGCCAGAGCCAGGACGGGGAGAAAAGGGGGAGGCAAGAGCAGAAGATCCCGGCGGGACCCGGGGGACGCTGGTGAGGAAGGTTTGGGATTAGCCCTTGAGTGGTGGCACCGAGTCACCGGCGCTGCTCCTTCCCCTGGGGAGAGGCTACAAGGCCCTGGGTTTCAGGGGGGAGGAGGAGGAGGAGGAGGAGGAGGAGGAGGAAGAGGGGCTGAGCCCACCCCGGGGCGGAGGGCGGGTGACCACGAGCCCGGGCGGGTGCCGGAGCCGCTTCCCGGAGTTCTGCCCAAGGTCCTTCGGGTCCTTGACCCCCGAGGTGACCCCCCCTGAGGTCACCCCCCGAGGTGACCTCCCCGAGCCCCGGCGGGGCCGGAGGGGAGCGGGGAGGGTCTCCCAGCTGACCCCCTCTGCCAGCCCTGTTCAGCTCACACCGAGGTCTCCGACTGCAGCCTCATGATGAACTTGTGCGACTTGGGGTCCACGAACTCCTCCGAGAGCTTGAAGAAGGGGATCTTCTTGGTGCTCACCACCAGGCTGAAGTCCTGGCGCTTGAGCACGAAGACCACGCCGTCCTTGAGGCCGTTGGTGACCGGCTCCTCGCTGACCAGCGTCCACTGCTTGGCCAGCCAGCGGTCCTTGTGGTACTGGATGGTGGGCCCGGCCGTCAGGTACCGCTCCAGGAACGCCTTGGGGAGGGAAGGGACACGGGAATGTCACGGGAATGACACGGGAATGACACGGGAATGACACGGGAATGACACGGGAATGACACGGGAATGTCGCCTTCCCGTGGCTCAGCCTCGGGGGTTTCTCTTTTTTTGCAGCCTCGAGCTGCTCGGCAGGTCCTGCCGGAAAAACCTCCCTGGTTCCCACTGTGCTGATCCCGCGGGGGTCACACCCACTCCTCTGGCTGGATCCCGGGAGCACCGAGCTTGGGAAAGACCTCCAAGACCATCCAGCCCACCCTGTGCCCCATCCCCACCTTGGCCCCAGCCCAGAGCACTCAGTGCCACAGCCAGTCCTGCCCTGGGCACCTCCAGGGCTGGGGACTTCAAACCTCCCTGGGAAACCCCTTCCAAGGCCTGAACACCCTTTCCAGGGGGAAATTCCTCCTCATGGCCAACCTGAGCCTCCCCTGGCACAGCCTG